ATAGGCGCCTTAAGTAGCTCTTCTTCTCCTCCTCCTCCTCCTCCTCCTCATCCACCCCACCACCCACTCCCCTCCTTCACAAACAGTCCTAGCGCACGGCGCAACCACCACCGGCACCCCGTATCCCGACCCCGTCATACGCCAATCCGCGTATACGTACGTCTATCCTTCTCTCATTCTATCTCTGTACGCTCGCACCCCCCCACCTCCATCCCCTCACGCACTACCCTGTTTCGCTGACGCGCGAGCGCGTAAATAAACATGCGCGACCGAGAAACTCCCCAAAGTAAACACGATGAAGTAGTAGCCGAGTTGTAGAACGCTATGGATGTGTAGAGTGTCGAAATGGTATATACTAATGTGACATGTTAAGCCTTTTTTAAGGATAAAAAAGCCTTTGCTTTAAATTCTCTGCGTTAATAGAGGCTTCACTCTTCGTAATTAGGTGTAACAGCTCGACCTAGCCATCGGAAATAAAAGCTAATCACAGTGAAATGGCCAGTAGGTGTCGAATGCTGGAAATGATAACATACATCATACTATTATTGAATTGAGGTAATTCATCTCCATTGGCACTTTTTTAAAGTTTCTTCACATTCTTTGTGTTTTATTCTTGTGTATTTATTCAGAATACGGGCGATATGGCCGATTGGATTATCGTTAAGTTTGGTCAGGATAAATTGAGCCGATTGACGGACGATCGAATTATTAGGATAATTCCGGATCCGGTGAAACATTACAATAGAGTGAGAGAGCGTTTTTGCCAAGCGTAATAGGTAATAGGTAATAGGTAATAACAATAGGTCGCATTTTCATAAATATCACAACTCGAAAGTCATAAGAATTTGGTTTTGACAATTTTCTAACCTTACATTAAATTTACGGTCTTACATGATTTTACGAATATCGACGAAAGCTTAATTTCAACGTAATTTAATCTCCGTTAATAAAGTTTAATTCCATAATGGGACCGTACACGACCAATAAAAGTCCTTAACTAATTGCACGACTAAATTCGGTTGAGAAAACGACAGCTTGAGTAAATAAATCGCGCAATAAAAGCCTCGAACATTAAGACATTGACGGTGAAATGCGCGTGAAAAGCCCTCGAGATCACGGAGGATCAGAGTCCGAACAAATGTCAGCGTCTCGGACACGAATATTCTAGCCTGCATTTCCCATTTCTCTTCCTTACACCGGCGTTTCCCAAAGCTTCTTTTTATTGTCGTCCGTGCCACTGTTTTCCGCCGAAATTGTAAAAATAGATTGACTTGGGGCCTACTTTATTACGAGCCATAACAGCTTACGTTATGCATGTCGTAACAGGTGCTTGTGTTTTGAAATCCTCGAGCGTGAAAACATACATTTTCGAGCTTGGCCCTAGGCCCTACCGCCCTAGCCCCCCCCCCCACCATTTGGCTTCGTCATTCCGTGATCGAGGCATCGTCGGTGATAATAACACGCAACATCGCGAGAATCCGGTGACTCTGTTTCTTCCCTTCTTCGCTTTTCCCCTCTTCTTTATCGGCCGTTCTCCGTCCGTCCCGTCATTCGGCCATTCGGTTCCTCGCTCCCTCGGTCCCTCGCTCCCTCGGTCCCTCAGTCCCTCGGTCCCTCAGTCCCTCAGTCCCTCAGTCATTCAGTCATTCAGTCACTCAGTCGTTCAAGCGAGAAGGCTTGTATCACTCCGATGCCACGGATCTACCCAAGTTAAATATCTCTCGTCCTTCCATCTTCGTCGGTTATCCTTCATTCGCTCGGGCCTTCTGTCCTTTTCCTAATCGCCCGCCGAAGAATGAGAGAGGGCTTAATACGAGGCAAGCTCTCTTCCGTCCCTTATTATCCAGCCTTGAGCTTGATTAATTGCACTCTGACCGTACTAAAGCCCATTTTCTTTCTCCTCGACTCTCCCACTCCAGCTATTTTTCTTCCTTTGCTTTGCCTACATGGATCGGCAGAAAAACGCTGTTCTCTCTCTGTATTGACAGATGCTTTCGACCCTGAGATCCTCCGTTGTTTGATTACAGTCTATACAAAGTGAAAACTTTGATATTTCATTATTTTTACTTTTTTTCTTCATTTTTCTTCTTCCTCTCTCTCTCTCTCTCTCTCTCTCTCTCTTGTTTATTTTAATTTATCTTGAACTAAACATGACACAAGGATAATTATAATCTTTGAATTTATGATGATTATTGAGTAGTAGAGAGGCTTTTATTATATACTTTAGGCATTCAATCGCTGCATTGATGTTTGCTAAAATCGCTAAAATTATTCAATTATCACATTATAATGCAAAAGATCGAAGGCCTCTTGATTTTATCAACGTTGAGGAATTAATAGGGCCTACGCGCGAATTTAATAAGCCAAGAGAACTTTATTGTCTACGTGAGCGATCATGGATGGTAATTTTAGTATTTGTCGTTGCCCCCTTGCTCTAAGACTGGCTGACCTTCCACCTTATAGGAAAGTGACGGCACCGTGTTGACGATGAGAGTGTCCGGGTGAGCGATAGACATCAATGAGATTTTGGCTAATAAGCAATTTGGAATAGATATTATAAGATACTTAAAATATTGCCTAATGAAGGAAACTTATACTTACTCTCCGTAGCGTACGTACCGATAGTTTGGGCAGTTTCTAATGCCCATTCAATCCCCATTCGCACGACACTAGCAAATTTTACTTTAATGAAGTGAGATTGTGTTTGGAGAATGAAGTGTCAGTCCCATTGGAAATTTCGGGCTCAAAGAATTTTGAGACCATAACCTCTAATGGGCAACTGAACTACACGCGAGATCCCAAACGAACAAGACTACCGATAGATCGACAGCCGCAGCAAGGAATCCGGCAGGTATAGCATCCGGACGTTGAGAGAGGGATTTCTAATCCTGAGGAATGAGAGATGCGCCTTTCCCTTACTCACTCTACCTCACTCTACCTCAATCTCTCTCACTCTCTCTCTCTCTCTCTCTCTCTCCGTTCCTTCGAAATCGAAAAATATTCGCGTGGGTGATCTTTGGCGCGCGCATCCCTACCTGGGATAGACGTCGTCTGCCCGTTTTTCGGCATAATTTATAACTTATGACGAGCCGCTCTCGCTCCTGCGCCCTACGATATTCTTCTCGGCATTATTATCCTTGATACGAGTAGCCGATTTCATGAGGCTGCAATCGTCCTGCTCCTCAAGGTCCCTCCCGGTATTAAAGCCGATATTCGACGACGGAGTTTTCCTTTAAGCAGGGACGTGCCATAAGATTTTTCGCATTTTCCGTGACCGCTCACCTGGCTTAATGATTTCGATCTTCTATAATGCTCGCGATGATCAACGCTTTTGTACGTCCAGCTGCGAGACAAAGCGAGACTTTGATGATTTACAAAACTCACTACCACGTTTTACATAATCGGGATGCTCTTTATTTTGCGATTTAGCACAGTGATGCCAACGCACTTTTAATGCACGTTATGATTAATTTTTACTTTTAAACTCAATAAAATGTGGATAATTTCATTGAACTGGTTATAATAATTGAGCCATTATACCAATCCGACAATTTCATCGCCCTTAATTTCACATATATTAATTCGATTGCCTTTTCATTAGGAAACGACTATGATGAGATTATGCTTAAGAGAAAACAAAAAACAAATACAAAAACAAAAAACAAGACAAAAAAGAGAACAAAAAAAAATCTGACAATATTTTAGCCGAATTGGCAGTTTCTTAATGACCTCGAGTAATAGCGTAGTCGTCCTGATACAGCCGTATAGATACTTTGCGCATAAGGAAACGAAAATGCGAGGATCCCGAGAGAAAGAGAGAAGGACGATGCATGCGCAAGGGAAAAATCTTGCAAACAAATCGACAATTCGAAATATAAATCTTTCTTCGAAATTGTATTGCCATCTCACTCGATTCGTCTCAATCGAGATAAGCGTCCTTGTCTGCTGCAAAAGAGGCTCCAACAGGAGGCCCTAGACGGCCTCAACAAACATCCGAGCAATCTCTTTACAGAGATTGCTGAGAGGAGCAGAGAGAGAGAGAGAGAGAGAGAGAGAGAGAGAGAGTGAGAGAGCGAGGTAGAGGCAGAGCTAGGGAGAGGGACAGAGTGCAAGAACAAGAATCAAAAGGAGCCAATGCGGGCGCCAGTCACTTGCACACTTCCAATGCATTTCCCTATGAATTTTTCGGGCGTGTCTAGGCGATGAAAAAGGTTCATGCAAGAATCGGACGGGTAAAGAGAGAGGGACCGAGCAAGTTAATAGAAAGAGTGAGGGAGAGAGTGAGAGTGTGTGTGCGTGCGTGCGTGCGTGCGCGCGCGTGCGAGAGAATGAGTGAGTGAGTGAGAGAGAGAGAGAGAGAGAGAGAGAGAAAGAGAGAGAGAGAAAGGGAGCCGAAAGACGGGATCGACGAAGAGGGGATATCGCCCCTGGTGGGGATCTATCTCTACCTACCCCATGCAGAGTGAGTCGAGCGAGCGAGAGATAAACACACAGACATTGAGTGAGTGAGTGAGTGAGTGAGTGAGAGAGAGAGAGAGAGTGCGTGAGACAGTGAGAGAAGGAGAGAGAGTGAGACAGTGAGTGAGAGAGAGAGAGAGAGAGTGAGTGAGAGAGCGAGCGAGCGAGCGAGCGAGCGATGAGGAGTATAGCGTGGAGGACGCTTCGACGCTCGAGCGAGTAAAGGAACGGAACGAACCCTCGGGGGCTCATGAAATTCCGTGTAGAGAGGAACAAGCCAGTGTCGAATGGTCTCGGCCAATGCTATAACGTAGATCAGAACCGCGTGTAGGCGCGCGTCCTTCCACTCTTCCTCGTTTTCTTCCTACCCCACTCCGACTCGGCCTATTTTCACGTCCCGCCAAGTTCGTCGGTGCGCGCACTAAGTACATAAAGCGAATAAAGAAACCGAGCAAATGCTCGAGTACGAGACGTAGGGGTGAACAGCGCGACGTGCACCGGCTTATCCTTGAGTTGTACCGTGTGTCGTGCAAGCAAGCGAAATGTTTCACATGGACCTCGCGCTCCAGGAGAAGATGTTCCAGTCGCAGGAGTGCTGGGACGAGGATGGCCTCGGCAAGGGCGGCTTTAACAAGGGTGGCAGTGGCGGCGGCAGCGGTAGCCTCGGCGACTCCACCATGAATCTCCTGAGCAAGGTCGGTTTTTGTGTCTTGGCGCCGATTTTCTCTCCACCTCGCTCATACACACAAACACACGAACACACAATCAAGCACGAACACGCGCGCGGCCGCCGTGCCATTCATGCGGGAACAGCTGGCGGCGGGCATGCGCGGCGCATTAGATACGGAGGTGGACGAGCTTTTTGTCCGGCACGCAATTTACGGAGTACAATGGAGGCTGAGAGTGGCGATACTCCGCGCCGGCCGGACAATTATTGCGAGCGACTAGGTGGAAGGAAGGGCAGGGCGTACGCGAATCCATGGTCTCTCATCTATTTGGATTAATGATGATGACGATACTTTGTTGGCTTTTGATGTTTGTTGATTGTTGTGGATGGACGGATGGATGAGGGCGTCGGGGGGGCTAGAGACGAGATTTCATAGATGGCTGATTCGAAAACTTGGGTTCGCCTTGGCGCAATTCCTGCGCGGTGCTTTATTATTTTGTCGACGTTGTATTTTGCTTGGGAGCTTTGGTGGGTGTTAAAAAAAAAAAAAAAAAAAAAAAAAAAAGAAGGATTAAGGAAAGAAAAACTAGCCGACGATTCGATTATTCGTATACACAAGGATAAAGCTTTACACACCACGGTATTTTTCGTGATCTTCGAGGCATTGTTGTTTATCGATTGTGGCCAATAGGATGAGATATTCGGTGTTGGAATAAAAGGCTGCTGATAATTAAGATTATCTCACGGGTGAGAGAGGTGAGTGGATGAAAATTATCATGGGTGCGCAACCTCGGTGAGGATAGAGTCGGTAAAAGCTCGTCCTAGGGCCAAATAATGAGCGAGAATTGGGAAGGACGACGCATTATCTCCTGTCCTATCCCCCTTTCTCGAAACACTAGATACACAAAGAAGAAGAAAAAAGCAAAAAATGAAAAACACAATGGTCGGTGGGTGGGGGGGGGGCCGAGCGACCTGTGCGTGCGTGTATATACGTTGTACAGGGCCGAAATAGATCTACCCGGGAGAGCCAAAGAAAAGGATAAAAAAAAAAAAAAGTAATAACGCCCTGCGCGTGCACTTAAAATGGAGAAAAAGTATGGCGTGTTATAAAAATTTTTACGAAGCCGCAGCAGCTTCATTTATATGTTAAGCGTACAACCTCGTATAAAGTCGGCATCATGAGAGGCCGCGACTCGGCGAAATATTATAATATTTAGCATCTCGTGTACGCTTGTCTATCAAAACGAAAAAAATAAATGGAGAAGGACATTTAATAAGCGATAATGCGCTACTTTTTTTTTTCGAAACTGGTAGATAAATAGAGACGTTTGTAAGACATATTTAATGTCTCTGAAATGGAGGTTTTACGAGCGCTATAGGAGTGCGGGACATTAGATTCTTCGACCTCTTTTGAAGATTTGTATTTTTTTTTTCTTCTGGGAATTTATGAAATTATTATTGAAACACGGTACGAGACAAAGATGTTTACATTAATGCGCTGACAAGCGTTCTGTCAATTTATTGCTTAATTTTCAATGGGACGTTGACGATATTGAGCTTCGAGGGGTACGGAAAGACCAAGATTAGGTCAGTGTACCTTATCAATGATTTTAATAATCTTACAATAGCAAATCAATTTCTGTTTTATTTTCGATTCCGATAAAAAATAACCAATGAATTATATATCTTTAATCATAACTTTATAAACGTAATGATTTTTGTTATTGATTATTTTTTCTGTACGTGATTGTCACTTTTCAAATATTTCTCTGTCTGATTTGACGTTCGATGTAAGAAGGAAAACTAAGGAAAACTAATGACACGAAAAAAGAAAACAGTACGCGTAATAATAAGCATACTAATCGTTTCTTTAATTAATATATGGATAATAGGTCGCGATATAATTAAATATTTCACGTCTCCATGATATTTAGAATTTTCCAATCCAAAAGCTGGATTTCTGGACGAAATCAGCAAAAATTATGCTCCAAAGTAATATCCGGGGTAACCTTATTATATATATAGTCCTTTATTATAGTTAGGTTATATAGTTAGGTATTATAATCCTATATTATAATTAGGTTATATATATTGTTATATATATAACCTAATTATATATATATATAATATTATTATATATAGTCTTCGTATGAATCGACACTCTGTTGGTTCAATGGGTTTGCGAGGCGCCTAAAGCTGGGCGCATGAGCAGCCTCCGAAATTTCAAGGCAAACGGAAAAGAAAAAATTGGTTGTATCGTTAATCTTGCACTAAAAGTCCATCAGGGCCTCCTCCCGACAAAGTCACAGCTGCATCCAACGGCGAGAAAAGCCCGCAACGAGAAACGAAAGAAAAGCGTCGAGGCACAGTACATGCGTAAAGGCCTCTAGCATCTACCGTCTCGAGTCTCGAAAATTTGGCGTCGGGTTTTCGTCGGACCAAGTGCGTATATTCAAAATATGCATTACCGATGCTCACCTTGCGCCACGGGTCGGATGGAGTGGAGCCGGGGATACACGGGGGTCGAGAGATCGTGCCACGACGGGTCGGGGGGTGGGCGGGGGCCGGGGCGGGGCGGGCGTTTGGTGGGAGGTAGGAAGAGGTAGGGAAGTCAGACTACTCGGAAGAAGTCACACTGGATCGCGTTGCGCGGGGGGGGGGGGGGGGGGGGGGGGGCCGGGGGCGGGCCGGGCGTTTGGTGGGAGGTAGGAAGAGGTAGGGAAGTCAGACTACTCGGAAGAAGTCACACTGGATCGCGTTGCCTGACAGACTTGCGCAAAGTATTATCGTATAGAGTGAGTCAGAGAGAGAGAGAGAGAGAGAGAGAGAGAGAGAGAGAATTTGATAAGACAGGAGCATCAAGGCTGATCGACATGGGATATCACAGCCATTATGGAGCTAATGTTTTCATTCCTGAGGCTGCGACAGCTTTCGAAAGTTTAATGTGTAGACAATTACGGTGCCCGCCATTGCCCAGCAACTCATATTTAATGCGAACATCTATGCATATCAAGAGTAATTACAATTATTTATAGGTAATGGGATGTGATGTGATTGTTTTTAAAGGAGCACACCAAACGACAAATAACTAATAATAAATAAAGCGGTTTGTTAGTAGCCGATCGAAGGCAAAGTTGACACAACGGATAACGTAAGCAGCAGCCTTCGAAAATTCATCCAAACTCGCCAAAATATTATGATGCCCGGGCGAATAAAAAATACGAATATATTTACACGTGTTTGGTAAGAATCTAAGTTGGATCTCCGATTAATAAAGTGTCCCCGTCTGTTACGTCTCTTTACCGCTCGTACATGGCCGGCCATGTAAACATTTAATTTAATAGGAGCTCGTGAAAAGAGAAAGTAAGAGAATAAACGGCACGAAGAAAAGATGGTGGCACGAGAAAGAGAGAGAGAGAGAGAGAGAGAGAGAGAGAGCGCGAGAGAGAGAGAGAGACAGACAGACAGACGCGGTGGAGGAGAGAATCGTAAAGTTTTCCGAGGTCTCGTTCTATCGTTTTTATGACGAACTTGTTGAGTATCGAATTTTTATGGCTTATCGACTTCTCGGCACCCCTCCCCCCCCCAACCCCTCCTTACTCTTGCATTCGCTCTTTCTATTGAAAAATTTTAATGAATGGAAAAGGATAGAACAAGACGAATTTGAAATAGATGTTTTATATGATTTTCATCGAATTGTGGCTTTTCTGATATTTAATGCCGCCCCCCCCCCCCCCCAAACCCCCTCCTTACTCTTGCATTCGCTCTTTCTATTGAAAAATTTTAATGAATGGAAAAGGATAGAACAAGACGAATTTGAAATAGATGTTTTATATGATTTTCATCGAATTGTGGCTTTTCTGATATTTAATGCAAGTGACATATTTAATTATGACCAAAATATATCATTAATACTAGACGAATTATTTTTTATTTGATACATAAATAAAAATGAAAATAAATATAAAAATAAAAATTAAAAAATAATATAGTGAAACGCTGCTGCTGTATTTATGTAATTAGGAAATAGAGCGCTTGAGGATATATATATATATATATATATATATATATTCCTCAAATCCCAGAATTCAAAATAGTGTAACAATTAATTCAGACTTCTATTTTAATAGCTTTGTGAAATTTAATTTTTCTATGTCATTCGCTTTATAATAAAAATTTAATGCGCTTAATAAACGTCGGAATAAAATCTTTAATACACAAAAGAAGATCGTATTGCGGTTAAATTATAATCAAATATTCTAATTCAACATTAAAAATATAATAGTTGACTATATTGTCCAAAAATACGTTTTGCATTACTTATGAAATAATTTTGGATAGTAACCAAAAATTAATGTCTCAAAGTGTGATATCAACGCTCAAATATGTGTCAAATTTTTGAGAAGAAAAATACGTAAGATCTTTCACAGGAATCGCATCATCGCGAGAATAGCAACGCGAGAACTATCGTCATAAATCACAAGAGAAGTAGACAAAGACAGTGAGTACATCAACAAACAAAGAGCAAAATGCGTTTGAGAGTGAGAGAGGGTGGGAGAGGTAGGGAGAGGGGGGGGGGACAGAAAAAGGGAGCAAAATGTGTAAAATCTTTATTTATATCGCGGTTGTAAAAATCTCATATAGCACAGTTAATATAAAGAATATTTTTAGCAACATAGTTCCGCGGTATGCAAAGTGTATAACTACGACATTAAACCTATGAATAATTCGACGTATATCATATAGTAAACATAAGTGCTCTTAGTGAGAAACGCTTCTGTATGATAAAACGACTATAATTATAAATTATTCGTTGTAATAGTTTAATACATTAGTTTAAATAATTCGAAATATCTCAGGGACTTTTTTTTTCAAGGACTTGGCAAAAATCACAATTAGCCATTAAAAGTCGCGAAGACCGCGATGGCTGAAAATTAACAATATAACGGTAATGTCGGATTCGTAGCTTTTTCCGCTCGAAATGTAGCGCTGGCACATCACGCATAGAAAAACAAATTGATTCTTAAA